AACACAATTGGCTAGACCATACCAGCTACACTGTCGCTGCTTTTACGCTTACTTCCAGACATCCTGGGCTTGAAATAAAGAGACTGGCCTGGCGCTGTGGCTCAAGCCTGTAATCCCAGCACTTTGGGAGACTGAGGCGAGAGGATGGCCTGAGCCTAGGGGTTTGAGACCAGCCTGGGCAACTTGGTGAAACCTTGTCTCTACAATAAACAACAACAACAAAAAAGAAATAAAGAGACTGTACTACTGTACTCTATACAGTCCTGTACAAAATAAACAAAAGCGCAACCGCTTGTGGAAGATGCAGGCATGTATGCCAGACACATGAACTAACTTACATGACTGGGCATATGAACACATGTTCGCGTCTTTGAAAGTTTGCAACTTGAAGGTTCATATGTAGGGGACTTACCATATAGGGGATTCAGAGAAAAAGGGGGAGTTTTACTGCAGGGAGGCTGCCTGCGGCACCATTACCTGCTTTTGGGCTTTCAGGACATTGAGCTGTACTGATGTTTTCTGTGTATCTGGCTAATTGGCTAATTGGCTTTAGGGATTATATTATTAGGTTTAAGTAAATTAACACTCACAAAACAGACAAAGTGGCTTAAAATAATTCTTTCAAAGACAGCAAATAATATTCTAATAATAAGGCAGATATAAGCATGCAACAACAAAAATAATAGAGCTAACATTTTATCTCCAATATGAATTCTTTTAAACCAAAAAATGATTAGCTTTTAAAAAACGTTTGTTCTGATTAATTCTGTGTACCCGTGTGTGCACGTGAGCAGGTGTGTGCATGTGTGAGAGTCAGAAGAATCATTTTTGTCAGCAATCACACCCATAGACCCTTGGCATAGCTCTGCCCTCAAACTTTCTCATCAGTAGGTATTGGCAAACCTGATTCCTGGATTTTATTTTATTTTTTTTTTGAGTTGGAGTCTCACTCCATCACCCAGACTGGAGTGCAGTGGCACGCTCCTGGCCACCGCAGCCTCAACCTGCTGGGTTCCGCTGATCCTTCCGCCTCAGCCTTCCAAGTAGCTGGAACTACAGGCATGTGCCTGC